ATTAAATCAAAATGAGCAAAAATAAAACCTCAATTTAAGGTACAAATCATATTTGAGTATTTCTGAAGCAAATTATAGAAACCAATTCCAATTGATTTCAGGAAAAAAAAAATTTAGTCTTTTTTTTTTTTTCAGACGGAACATTGACACCATTATTTAGCACCTCTTACTTCCTCCCTCTCATTTCTTCTGTCTCTTCTTAATCATCAAGAAAAAAAAAAAAAAGGAAAAGTGAAAGATTAAAAAATGCTGAAAATAAACTAAATAATTTTTTTTTCTCTATTTTACCGTTAACCGAAATAGATAAAAAATAATTTAACAATACATAAAATTAACTTTAAAACTTAATTTAAAAAGTTGTCATTTTATAAACAAATATTATAACTAACAATTGAAAAAATTGCTTCTTTTTTTGTTGTAGTTTTGTTTAAATGTATTAAATTGTTGATTCACTTCTTTTCTTTTCCCTTTTTTTTGCGGAAAAAGAAGATGAAGTTTGAGTAAAGAAGGAAGACAGAAGAAAGAAAAAAAAAAAGAAGCAGAAAATCTTCTAATGATTATTGTTTGTTTTTTATTGTTGTAATTAGACAAAATTAGTGCCAATTACTGAAGCCGATAAAGAAAGTAGATAAGCTTGTCGACGTTCAGTAAAACAAGACTCAATGCTGATACGGAAAGAGCTATCCATGCCACAACATGCATCGAATATTTGTATGGATTTGGTACTGAACCCCGATCCAAGAAGTACAGCATCCATTCATTTGGATATGCCCAACCTGAAACATAAAAACACCGTGTTACATAATCAACCAACAAAATTTGTCACATGCATCGGTTTCACTTTACCGATGCTATTTTTTTCAAACAATTATAACAATACAGCTACCCATTGAACAGTACATTTTACATAGTAAAATTTTGGCTAATATCAACAGTGTTGTCCCGTAAAGTTTGTTGACTTAGGTAAAGGTTTAATTAGCAGCTAAATTTGAAGCAGAAAAATAGCTGAAAACAAAAATATATTTATAGCAGCGACTTTTTTTGCAAAGCTTTTTTTCTTACTTTTTTTTGAACCGATAACCAATAAATGTATAAACAGCAGTCACTTACTTAGTTATACAGTTTTTTTGGCCTTACTTTATATGTCTCGTTAATTTAATCTAAATAATGACGAAAAAAATAGGTGAAAAATCAGTCAAAACATTAGCCGTATCCTTGAACAGCATAACAGAATTGTTGAAAAAGAATTTAATTTTAAGGGTTCACCGATCAAAATGAAAAAGAAAACCAAAAAAAAGCAGGAAAATAAATAGACGAAGAAAACAAAAGTAAGAAAAGGTAATTTTTGATAATTGTCAAGAGGTTTCTTTTAATATATCAATCGAATCAGCGGAGAAGTGAAACAAAATAAACTTTCATCTACAATTTGTTTATTTTTGAACTTTTTTTTTTCTTTTCTTTTCCTTCCTTTCCTTTCCTTTCCCTTCCTCGCCATCCCCGATTATTTTCTATAATCTACGAATAAAATATGTGGTAAATGAAAATTAAGCAAAAATAGCATTAAAAAAAATAGAAATACTGCAAAACAAAAGAAAACAGAAAGCAGAAAACAAAAACAATGATTTGGCAAAAATACAAAAATTACTCATAATTTTTTCAATTATCAAATTAACTATTTTTTTTTTGCAACTCATTTTCTCACTTTTTCTTCTGATTTCTTTTTTTTGCTTTTTTTTTCCGCTCACCACAAAAAACAATAAAATAAATAAAAAAAGAAAAATAAAAAATTCAAGAATTTTTCTTCTTCTGTTTTTAAACTTATCTTTTTGTTCTTTCTAGTAATTATAAAAAAAAAAGCAAAAGTAGAGAAACATTCAAATTGCATACCTGTTAGAATAAGATCAGCAAAAGTCATATTAAGCAAAAATAAATGTAAATTTCGATCACCAACTCGTCGTCGTATATATTTTACTGCTCTGACCATAATATAAACTTGTAAAAAACTGGACACAATACATAGAAGCAATAAGCATAATTTGATACCATTTACTATATGTCCTAATTTTTCATAGGTCATACCCTTCAAAAAGAACGAAAGAAAGAAAAAAATAGTTCCAAGAAAGAAAAGAAATAGAAAAAGAAAATAATTTAAAGAGAAAAAAATTCAAAAAATAATCTTTTCTGTTCAAACTTTTTGATCTCATTTATACAGAACATTTTCAACTGCTTTTGTCTTCACAAACTTTACTTATTTTTCACTCCTTTTTGGCAACTTAATAGGGAAAGATTGGTCAAAAATATCGCCCAATATTACTCGTCATATTTGGAAATTGTTGATTCTGATCCATAAATTTAGATTGAACTTTCTTATCTTTTTCTCCCCAATTCTATCAGCTTTCTCTTTCCTTCTTCAAAAAAAAGCATTTTAAATATTGAGTGAGAAAAGAGTAAATTGTTTTTGTTCTTAAATCCTATTTATTTTTCTAACAGGTTAATATGATTTGTTCAGGATCGTTCTGTCAAAGTTGGATTGCCAAAAGGTTTTACAGTGACCCCCCCTTACGGCAGTTACAGAGCAATACAACGAATTCCTAAGCTAAGCAAGTTGCATTTCTCCGGCTGCCTCCCTGCATAAAAAGAAAGAAGAAAAGCCACAGACTACTTTGGTCTAGTATTTTTAGAAATGATAGAAGTAACAAATGAACAGAAATGGTTTAAAAGATAAAATTACTGTCAATATAAATTTACAGAAACAATTGAAATAATGTTTTGAAAAACAGTTTCTTACATTGATTTCGACGCAGTAAGCTTCCGACGATGAATCGTTGCTGTTGTTCTGTTGTTGTTCAACCATTTTTGAACATTTTAAAGAATGAAGAAAAAAAAAAGACAGAAGCACACACAAGGGGCACACACAAATCCCTCAAACGTTTGTTTCCAATCTGTGCTTAAAAGCAATTAATAAATTTATTGGTTTTCCTTTTCGTTTGCATCTTTTCGTTTTTTTCTCGCCTCTCCGGTTTACTTAAGATCATTTAGAATAAATGCCTCAGAGTTTTGCTTCATCTAGTATACGTAAACAAAAAAAAAAAAAAAAAAAAAA